TCGAATTTTTCAAATGTTTTGATTTCTTAATGAATCGATTTTTGACTTCGCGGTTTTAGATTTTCTTTTTCAAATTTTCGATTTTTCAAATTTGACAGTTATAAACTGTCAATTTTTCGATTTTTCAATTAATCGATGTTTTGATTTTCCCATTTCTTGACCTTCGAGTGTTTCGATTTTCCTGTTCTTCAATTTTTTTATTTTTCAATTTTTCGATTTTTTAAGGTTTCTATTTTTTGACTTCACTTTTTTGATTTTTCGATTTTTCAGTTTTTAGATATTTCAGTTTTAGGATTTTTCAATATTTCAATTCTTCGGCTTTTCTATTTTTGACTTCTCGGTTTTTCGATGTGTCTACCTTTCTACTTTTTCGATTTTTCAATTTTTGGAATTTTAGATTTTTCAATTTTTTGATTTTAAATTTTTCAAGATTTCTTAGTCTTTCTATTTTTCGACTTCCTGGTTTTAGATGTGCGGTTTTTCAATTTTTCGATTTGTTAATTTTTCATTCCAGATTTATCGAGATTTGATTGTTCAGGTTTTCGATTTCAGTTTTTCAATTTTTTATTTTGGCCTATTTCGGTTTCTCAGTTTTTCTAGTTTTCCATTTTTTCGTTTTTTGATTTTTCTATTGCTCAATTTTTCGACTTTTTAGGTTCTCAGTTTTTGGATATTTCAGTTTTCGGATTTTTCAGGTTTTCCATTTTTCAGTTTTGGGATTTTTCAATATTTTGATTCTTCCGACTTTTCGATTTTTGGCTTCCGGATTTTTCGATGTGTCGATTTTTAAATTTTAGATTTTTTAATTTTTAAAATTTTAGATTTTTCGATTTCTCGATTTTTCATTTCAGTTCTTCGATATTTAAACTTTTCAAGTTTTGGAATTTTTCAAATATTTCGATTTCTTAATCTTTTGATTTTTCAACTTCCAGGTTTTAGATTTTCTGTTTTTCAATTGTTGTTTTGTCAAATTTTCGATTTTTTAATTTTTCAAATGTGACTTTTATAAACTGTCAATTTTTCGATTTTTCAATTAATCGATGTTTTGATTTTCCCATTTCTTGACCTTCGAGTGGTTCGATTTTCCTGTTCTTCAATTCTTTAATTTTTTGATTTTTCAGGTTTTTGATTTTTCAATTTTCGACTTCACTTTTTTACTTTTTCGATTTTTAAATTTTAGATTTCTCAATTTTTTGGTATTTTAATTTTTCAATATTTAAAATTTTAGATTTTTCGATGTCTCGATTTTTCATTTTAGCTCTTCCATATTTCAATTTTTCAAATGTTTCGATTTTTCGACGTCCTGGTTTTAGATTTTCTGTTTTTCAATTGTGGTTTTTCCAGTTTTTCGATTTTTAAATTTTAGATTTTTCTCTCGATTTTTCAGGTTTTTGATTTTTTATTTTTTAATTTTTTTAAGGTTTCGATTTTTCTACTTCACTTTTTGGAATTTTCGATTGCTCAATTTTTCGACTTCACTTTTTGGAATTTTCGATTGCTCAATTTTTCGACTTTTTAGGTTCTCGGTTTTTGGATATTTCAGTTTTCGGATTTTTCAGGTTTTCCATTTTTCAGTTTTTATTTCAATTTTTAGTTTTTCGATATTTCAGTTTTGGGATTTTTCAATATTTTGATTCTTCCGACTTTTCGATTTTTGGCTTCCGGATTTTTCGATGTGTCGATTTTTAAATTTTAGATTTTTTAATTTTTAAAATTTTAGATTTTTCGATTTCTCGATTTTTCATTTCAGTTCTTCGATATTTAAACTTTTCAAGTTTTGGAATTTTTCAAATATTTCGATTTCTTAATCTTTTGATTTTTCAACTTCCAGGTTTTAGATTTTCTGTTTTTCAATTGTTGTTTTGTCAAATTTTCGATTTTTTAATTTTTCAAATGTGACTTTTATAAACTGTCAATTTTTCGATTTTTCAATTAATCGATGTTTTGATTTTCCCATTTCTTGACCTTCGAGTGGTTCGATTTTCCTGTTCTTCAATTCTTTAATTTTTTGATTTTTCAGGTTTTTGATTTTTCAATTTTCGACTTCACTTTTTTACTTTTTCGATTTTTAAATTTTAGATTTCTCAATTTTTTGGTATTTTAATTTTTCAATATTTAAAATTTTAGATTTTTCGATGTCTCGATTTTTCATTTTAGCTCTTCCATATTTCAATTTTTCAAATGTTTCGATTTTTCGACGTCCTGGTTTTAGATTTTCTGTTTTTCAATTGTGGTTTTTCCAGTTTTTCGATTTTTAAATTTTAGATTTTTCTCTCGATTTTTCAGGTTTTTGATTTTTTATTTTTTAATTTTTTTAAGGTTTCGATTTTTCTACTTCACTTTTTGGAATTTTCGATTGCTCAATTTTTCGACTTCACTTTTTGGAATTTTCGATTGCTCAATTTTTCGACTTTTTAGGTTCTCGGTTTTTGGATATTTCAGTTTTCGGATTTTTCAGGTTTTCCATTTTTCAGTTTTTATTTCAATTTTTAGTTTTTCGATATTTCAGTTTTGGGATTTTTCAATATTTTGATTCTTCCGACTTTTCGATTTTTGGCTTCTGGAGTTTTCGATGTGTCGATTTTTCAATTTTTGATTTTTTAATTTTTAAAATTTTAGATTTTTCGATTTCTCGATTTTTCATTTCAGTTCTTCGATATTTTGATATTTCGACTTCCCGGTTTTAGATTTTCTGTTTTTCAATTGTCATTTTGTCAAATTCGATTTTTTAATTTTTCAAATTTGACTTTTATAAACTCTCTATTTTTCGATTTTTCAATTAATCGATGTCAGGATTTTCCTGTTCTTCAATTCTTTAATTTTTTGATTTTTCAATTTTTCGATTTTTTAAGATTTCTGTTTTTCGACTTCACTTTTTGATTTTTCGATTTTTCAGTTTTTAGATATTTCAGTTTTAGGATTTTTCAATATTTCAATTCTTCGGCTTTTCTATTTTTGACTTCTGGGTTTTCCGATGTGTCTGCCTTTTTACTTTTGATTTTTCAATTTTTGGATTTTTAAATTTTGTGGTATCCTCCCTTGTTCGCGGCCCCACGTGAGGGCGACAGATTGTGGTAGCTCAGCGGTTTATTAATAATAAGAACAATACAAATCAAAAGTAGGGTATAGGTTCTCGAAGTGGTGGCAATTCTCGTCGGGGATGGTGGCGGCTCCTGGGACTCAGAGCGTCGTAGGGGATGACGGCAGCGATGTATGTAGCACAGGGCACCTGGACAGTGCGACCCTGGAGATGACGACGTCGGCGATGCGGTACAGGAGACCTAGAGAATGCGACCCTGGAGACGACGACGTCGGCGATGCGGCACAGGGGACCTGGACAGTGCGACCCTGGAGATGACGACGTCGGCGATACGGCACAGGGGACCTAGAGAGTGCGACCCTGGAGATGACGACGTCGGCGATGCGGCACAGGGGACCTAGAGAGTACGACCCTGGAGATGACGACGTCGGCGATGCGGCACAGGGGACCTAGAGAGTGCGACCCTGGAGATGACGTCGTTGAAGCGACGCAGGGGACCGTAAAACAGTGCAGCCCTGGTGAAGATCTCGAAGCGGCGCAGGGGACCGTAAAACAGTGCAGCCCTGGTGAAGATCTCGAAGCAGCGCAGGGGACCGTAAAACAGTGCAGCCCTGGTGATAATATCTCGAAGCAGCGCAGGGGACCGTAACACAGTGCAGCCCTGGTGATGATCTCGAAGTAGCGCAGGGGACCGTAACACAGTGCAGCCCTGGAAACGACCAGAAGGGGACCGAGACAGTGCAACCCTTAAGGTGGAGATGGTGGAGTTCCATCTGCCTGGAAAGCGTCCGAGTTGCCCTTTTATAGGCAGGGTTGAGATGCGTGGGAGTACCTGCACAATGAAGTAACTTCAGGTGGGGTGCGTTCCAGTGGGGGTGAGCTTGGTGGGGTTGATATCGGCGCTGCCGAGGACAGCGCCCTCGAAAGGGTACTAGCGGAGCGCTTTGAAAGCTCCGCTACAATTTTAGATTTTTCAATCTGTTGATATTTTAATTTTTCAATTTTTCGATTTGTTAATTTTTCATGCCCGATTTATCGAGATTTGATTGTTCAGGTTTTCGATTTATTAGTTTTTCAATTTTTTATTTTGGCCTATTTCGTTTCTCAGTTTTTCCTGTTTTCCATTTTTTCGTTTTTTCAATTTTTCAACTTTTAACTTTTTGTTTTCGATTTCTCTATTTTTCGTTTTTTCGACTTCATCAGTTTCGATTTCTCGTTCTTTCAATCTCTCAATTTTTCGAATTTTTAAATTTTTTGATTTCTGGATTTATCGAGATTTGGATTTCTGAATTGTTCAACTTTTCGACTTCACGATTTCTTGATATTTTGATTTTTCGATTTCTCGGTTTTCCGATTTTTCAGTTTTTCGAGGTTTCAATTTTTCAGTTATCCGATTTTTTAAATTTGAGAGTTCATTTTTCGATTTTCAGTTCTTCGATATTTCGATTTTTCAATGTTCCGGTTTTACGATTTTTTAAGGTTTCAATTTTTCGATTATTAGATTTCTCGATTTTTGGAATTTTCTATTATTTTGATTTTTTTTTTCTTAGTGTTAATATCATACAAAAATTGTCACTAAAAACATTTAAAAATTCATACAAAATAGAAGACAGTGTTTTCAAAATGTTTTCCCGAAAAAATCCATTGGGTTATTACAATTTCAACAATATTCTTAGTTTAAGACGTTTTGCTAGTATAAAACACAAACAAAGAATTCATTCTTTTACAAAATATGTAAAATCATCTAAATATGTACCAAAAATATTCACTTTTAGTCACTTGGATTTAGCATTTAGCCCTCTAAATTTCAAAATGGCCGCCTTGCGAAACTAAGTACGTATGCAACCAACAATACACCGCAGCAAAAATCCTTGGTAAAACTCGTTTTCATAAACAAAACATTACAATTTATAATTATTTGGCTATTACCTTATCAGCGTAAGCCAGTAAACGTATAATTAAATTACTAATCACGGCCATTAAGTTTATTTACAACTCCTTTATTATTATTTTACAAAAAAGTCATCAAATACGAAAATCATCATCCTTAAAACTAATAAATAGTAAAAGTTGGCGATTTATTATCCAACTACCTCCCGGCGTCATTCCACGGTCAATGTCCAATTTTCTCCATGACCTATAACAACAATGACAAGACGCGATTTGACCCACCAACCCAGAGTTCTAAATCTAGAAGTGACTTCGCAGCGGTGATAACAGTACGATAAGCCTTCCACTCGTTCGTATTTACATTAAATAAAACCAGATTTCAGTCCCACACAGAGATACGCCTCTGCCATGGTGATATCTCCACCTCAAAAACTAACAATGCTGTTCGAAATCATAGGAGCTGGTGTCTTCAGTTATGGCCTTTTCTACCTCCTCGCCATGTGCTTCGTCGACTGCGACGTCGAACTGTGGTTTTACTCGATTTTCGGACGATCCCCACGTACGTACGACTTTAATTTTTTAATATTAGAAAGAAATTAAATGACTGTAGGTAAGCTGAAAGGCAAAGTCGTGTGCATCACGGGGGCTTCCAGCGGAATCGGCGAACACACAGCCAAAGCCCTCGCCAAACGCGGGGTGAAACTAGCTCTGACAGCCCGGCGAAAAAACGAACTCGAGCGGGTGAAACGAGAGTGCATTGGTATTAAAAATCACTTTAGTAGTGCGCTTTGAAAGCAAGTGTTGTAGAGCTCTCCAAAGGCCAGCTCGTCGACGACGACGTCCTCGTGCTGGCCTTCGACATCACCGACTTGTCGCTCCACAAGAAAGTCCTCGAACAAATTATCAACCACTTCGGGTCTCTTGACATCCTAGTCAACAATGCGGGGCGATCCCAGCGAGCCCTCTTCGAACACATTCAAATGAACGTGGATAAGCAAATGTTCGACCTTAACGTCTTCGCCGTCGTGAATTTGTCGCGGTTTGCGGTGAAATATTTTAGCGAGAGGGGCTCCGGTCACGTGGCTGTGGTGTCGAGTTTAGCTGGAGTCTTCGGGGTGCCTTATTCAGCCACGTACACCGCCACGAAGCACGCCATCCACGTAAAGTATCGCCAAAGTTAAGTTTGAGGTTAGAGTTGTAGTTGTAGGGGTACTTTGGGGCCCTCAGGACCGAAAAAACCGGCAAAAACATCGCAGTGACGTTACTGTGTCCAGGACCGGTTTACACGAATTTCTTGCAGGAGAGTTTCACGGAGAAAGACGGTGAAGTAAGCGCCATCTATTGACAGGTGTCGCGTTAGCGCCCTCTAGCGAATAAATCTGTGTTGATTGCAGAAATATGGAATTCCGGCTAATAAAACCGATAGGAGGATGACGGGGGAGAGGTGCGGGGAGCTCTGTGCAGTGGCTTTGGCCAATAGGACTCATGAATCTTGGATGGGGATTTTTCCGATGATGCCGTTTGTGTACACAGCTGTGTATTTTCCTATTGTTTCGAAAATGTAGTTGTATTTTAGTGGTGTTGTGGGGTTTTTGATTGATTTTGTTTTAGGTGTTTGAAGTTGTTGGGGCCGCAGAGGTTGTTCAAGATCAGGGATAGTAAAGAAATAACGCTCGATGAGGTAGCTATAGCGTAGTTCTGTGTTTGTGTTTTCTCTAGGTTTAATTTTATAAATGGTAACAAGTCGCTCGAATTATTCAAGGTACTTTTGAAATAATTGTGGGAAAGTTGCATTGTACTGAAAACTGTTAACAAAGGTCAACTTCTTTTATTATGTTAATGTTTGCTTTAAATTATGTGTAGGTTAAGACTACTAAGATTAAAAAACGTAAAAGAGATACTTTGCATACAATTCGTTTATAATGTACATACACTCACGCTAGCTGCTTTCAATAAATATACTTAATTTGTATTAGATCACTCGTAAAACTTACTAGTTTAAATTTCGTTAGTCGGAAAATTACACCTAAAGCGTATTTGTAATATATGATCTTTATATAGTAGGGTTGGCCATGAAAATCTAGTGAGTTTGTTGGTATTCGATGCAGAAGAATAAAAATTCCCTGAACTTTTTTCGTTAGGTTATGTTTTATTAAATTAAAGGTTAAAAAATATGCCAGAAATATAAACATTGTTGCCGATACTTTCAGTTTTCAGTAGCAATGACCAAGTTAACGGTATCCATTTCTTAGAAAACATAAAACTTTACGCTATTTAAAACAGTTATTCGGCTTTTTGTAAGTGTTTATGTAAGAAACAAACACTAAAATTTCACTTAAACATTGTTTTTATATGAATGGGGGTTCTACATACGACTATTGTCGTATGCCATATTTAACACCTAAATTTCACAAGTTTTTACAAGATTATCAGGCCTAAAATTAGTTTTATCTAAACAAGTACTAGGCCCACCCACCCGCCCCTTATTTACCCAGAGGATATGTGATTTGCCAAAATCAGTCATATCTTACCAAGTACTAGCCCCGCCCACCCACCCTCTATTTTCTTAGAAAGTATGTCATTTACAAGATCAGTCTAATCTTATAAAGTACTAGCCCCTCCCACCCGCCCCTATTTTTTCACAGGATGTCATTTTTTCCATTTTTCAGTTTTAAGATATTTTAATTTTTCGTTGTTTTGAATTTTGTGATATTTTGTTTTATCACTTTATGATTTTTCGTTGTTTTCATTTTTGCCATTTTTCGTCTCTCAATTTTTATTTTTTCGATTTTGCATTTTTTAGATTTTTACATTTCACAATTTGTCGCTCTTCTATTTCTCGAATTTCAATTTTTGAACTTTTCGATATTTCATTTTTGCAATTTTTCAATTTTTCAGGTTTTCGACGTTTCTGTCTTCAATTTTTAAATTCTTCATTTTTGATTATACAATTTTTCGGTGTTCCGATTTTCCAATTTTTCGATTGTTTAATTTCTCGGTATTCACTTTTTCAGATTTTCAATTTTTAGAGATTTTAGTTTTTCGTTGTTTTCAATTTTGTGATTTTTTGTGTATCAGTTTTTAATTTTTAAGTTTTTAAATTTTTCGAATTCTTTAATTTTTCGTTGTGTCATTGTTACAATTTTTCGATTTTTCAATATTTTGTTTTTTCGATTTTTTCCGATTTTTCAATTTTTTGTTATTTTAATTTTTATATGTCATTTGCCAAAATCAGTCTTATCTTACCAAGTACTAGCCCCGCCCACCCACCCTCTATTTTTTCACAGGATGTCATTTTCTCCATTTTTCAATTTAAAGAAATTTTAATTTTTCGTTATTTTGAATTTTGTGGTATTTCGTTTTATCATTTATCACTTTATAATTTTTCGTTGTTTTCGTTTTTGCCATTTTTCGTCTCTCAATTTGTCGATTTTCTATTTCTCGAATTTTAATTTTTGAACTTTTCGATATTTCATTTTTGCAATTTTTCAATTTTTCAGTTTTCAATTTTTTGATTTTGCCATTTTTCGAATATTTAGTAGATTTTTAATGTTTCAGTTTTTCGATGTTTCAGTGTTCCATTTTTGATTATACAATTTCTCGGTGTTCGATTTTCCAATTTTTCGATTATTTAATTTCTGAGTTTTTCAATTTTTCAAATTTTTACCGATTTTTGAACTACTTTTCGATTTTTCAATGTTCGGTTATTTTAATTTTTCGTTGTTTTCAATTTTGCGGTTTTTCGTTTCTCAATTTTTAATTTTTCGATTTTTCATTTTTGATTATACAATTTTTCGGTGTTCCGATTTTCCAATTTTTCGTTTATTTAATTTCTCGGTTTTTCACTTTTTCAGATTTTTCGGCTTGCCAATTTTTAAATATTTTAGTTTTTCGTTGTTTTCTATTTTGTGATTTTTTGTCTATCAGTTTTTAATTTTTAAGTTGTTAAATATTTCGAATTCTTTAACTTTTCGATGTGTCATTGTTACAATTTTTCGATTTTTTGGTTATTTTAATTTTTATGTCATTTACCAAAATCAGTCTTATCTTACCAAGTACTAGCCCCGTCCACCCGCCCCCTATTTTTTCACAGGATGTCATTTTTTCCATTTTTCAATTTAAAGAAATTTTAATTTTTCGTTGTTTTGAATTTTGTGGTATTTCGTTTTATCACTTTATAATTTTTCGTTGTTTTCATTTTTGCCATTTTTCGTCTCTCAATTTTTAATTTTTTGATTTTGCGATTTTTCGAATATGTATTAGATTTTTAATGTTTCAGTTTTTCGATGATTCAGTGTTCAATTTTTAAATTTTTAATTTTTAATTATACAATTTCTAGGTGTTCGATTTTCCAATTTTTCGATTATTTAGTTTCTGAGTTTTTCAATTTCTCAAATTTTATATATTAACCAATTTTTGAACTACTTTTCGATTTTTCAATGTTCGGTTATTTTAATTTTTCGTTGTTTTCAATTTTGCGGTTTTTCGTTTCTCAATTTTTAATTTTTCGATTTTTCATTTTTGATTATACAATTTTTCGGTGTTCCGATTTTCCAATTTTTCGATTATTTAATTTCTCGGTTTTTCACTTTTTCAGATTTTTCGGCTTTTCAATTTTTTGATATTTTAGTTTTTCGTTGTTTTCAATTTTGTGATTTTTTGTCTACCAGTTTTTAATTTTTAAGTTGTTAAATTTTTCGAATTCTTTAACTTTTCGATGTGTCATTGTTACAATTTTTCGATTTTTCAATATTTTGTTTTTTGATTTTTTCCGATTTTTCAATTTTTGGTTGTTTTAATTTTTATATGTCATTTGCCAAAATCAGTCTTATCTTACCAAGTACTAGCCCCGCCCACCCACCCTCTATTTTCTTAGAAAGTATGTCGTTTGCCAAAATCAGTCTTATCTTATAAAGTACTAGCCCCACCCACCCGCCCCCTATTTTTTCACAGGATGTCATTTTTTCCGTTTTTCAATTTAAAGAAATTTTAATTTTTCGTTGTTTTCATTTTTGCCATTTTTCGTCTCAATTTTTAATTTTTCGATTTTGCAGTTTTTAGATTTTTACATTTCTCAATTTGTCGATTTTCTATTTCTCGAATTTCAATTTTTGAACTTTTCGATATTTCATTTTTGCAATTTTTCAGTTTTCAATTTTTTGATTTTGCGATTTTTCGAATATTTAGTAGATTTTTAATGTTTCAGTTTTTCGATGTTTCAGTGTTCCATTTTTGATTATACAATTTCCGACTTTTCAATTTTTCGATTATTTAATTTCTCGATTTTTCACTTTTTCAGATTTTTTGGCTTTTCAATTTTTATATTTTAGTTTTTCGTTGTTTTAAATTTTGTGATTTTTTGTCTATCAGTTTTTAATTTTTAAGTTGTTAAATTTTTCGAATTCTTTACTTTTCGAAGTCATTGTTACAATTTTTCGATTTTTCAATGTATTTTGTTTTTTCGATTTTTTCCGATTTTTGAACCATTTTCCGATTTTTCAATTTTTGGTTATTTTAATTTTTATATGTCATTTGCCAAAATCAGTCTTATCTTATGAAGTACTAGCCCCGCCCACCCGCCCCCTAATTTTTCACAGGATGTCATTTTTTCCATTTTTCAATTTAAAGAAATTTTAATTTTTCGTTGTTTTGAATTTTGTGGTATTTCGTTTTACCACTTTATAATTTTTCGTTTTCATTTTTGCCATTTTTCGTCTCTCAATTTTTAATTTTTCGATTTTGCAGTTTTTAGATTTTTACATTTCTCAATTTGTCGATTTTCTATTTCTCGAATTTCAGTTTTTGAACTTTTCGATATTTCATTTTTGCAATTTTTCAATTTTTCAGGTTTTCGACGTTTTTATCTTCAATTTTTAAATTTTTCATTTTTGATTATACAATTTCTCGGTGTTCGATTTTCCAATTTTTCGATTATTTAATTTCTGAGTTTTTCAATTTCTCAAATTTTTGATATTTTCCGATTTTTGAACTACTTTTCTCCGCCCCTAGGTCTGATTACGAATGAAAAATTCATCATAATAATTGAGATCGAGAATCTTTGTGATCTCTGTTTTTTTTTTCCCTCTTAAAATATGAAGTTCTGTTTCGACTACACGACATTTAAACATGTTTTCAGTTTCTTGTTGGGAAAAGAAAACTTCGTATATTAAGAAAAGTTGGGCAAGATAGAAGCCCCGCCCACCCACCCCTTCCCAATTGTGATGAATTTTTTATTCATCGTAAGCCGAGGGGCGGAGTTAAATGGCAAGATACACATTTCTCTGTGAAAATTTACGGTTTTAAACATATTTTGAGTTTCTTGTTATGAAAAGAAGACTATGTATTATATTAAAAAATTTCCATAGAAAAGTGGCAATCCAGCTCAAAGCAAATGCCAATCAGACTACTGACAGACAAAAAACTAAATCACCAAATCAGTTTATCCAACTTAAAGAAAAAATATCAAAGCCTACTTTACTATATAAAGATCGTGAATGGATAATAGTGTGTAAAGTCGCGATCTTTTCTATAGAACCACTCCCTAGTGTAAATTTTCAAAATTTGTTTGGTGTAAGTGACCTTGACGGGTTTCTGGGGGAAAACATATGTGTCAAAAATCTGACAGGTTAGATGGCCCCATTGTTAATGTAGATATTTTATTTTAATAAATAGATGAACAGAACATACAGTCTGCACAGGATACAGTGCGGCACATTTGAGGGCAACCAAAACATTAGTGTTGTGCTAGTTTCGATTGCCATATCAACTACCGCTACCAACCGCGTCCGGCGTAAAGTACTGGATGACAGGGCTACCAACTTGACTTTTTATCGAGTGGTTCCGTAGAAATGACCGCTACTGTATATTTTACACTTCTGGGTGGATATTTTAACTAATACAATAATAATCAGTATTTTTTAACTAAAATTTATTCTACTCATAAGCTCGTTTTCTTTTTCAGGGTAAACAAAAACTGTGATCTACTCTGTTCTATTTGGTGAAGGATCGTCTTAACTTTCTTATTCAACTAACACTGGTTTTGGGCCAAAAATTTTAGCCATTGTTTGATACTTGATATGTAGGTAGCTTGATTGCACCCACATCAAATTTTGTTGCTGCTAGTATATACATTGGCGTAAATAAATATTGCAAAAAAATTTCATGTGGATGCAACTTTTCATTTATCTTTGTGGTGGGATTCTCGTAATTTTTTTTAGAATTATTTCGATTTTATGGGTTAGATATTGTGTAACGGTTTCTTTAAAAATCGAAATACTTCTTAGAATTTGTTGAGTTAAAAAATAGCGCTATTTGGGGCCATTTACTTACTAGTGGTTGTAGTTTGGTGTTATTTTTCAACTTGTATACCGTCGAACTTATTCGTGACGTCACTCTAACGTCACGTAAAAAACGTTTCGAATCTTTCAGTGGGATACCAATACAGGCGCTATTCATTATATATTTTTGTACATTTGTACACTCAAATAAAAAGGTTAGTTCTTTGAACAAAATGGCGAAATGTCAACAATTTTATTCCAAACTACCCTACACAGTTTAACACTTAAAAAAACAACCCCCTACTCATTAAAATCCGCTTTCCTCCTCTCCTTCCCCCTCAAAATCGCCGCCTTGAACAACCTACAGTACAACTCCACCGCCGCCGGCGAGTCGTCATTCCCCGGCACCGGATACGTCAGCAAATTCGGATTACAATTCGAGTCCACAACCCCCACCGTAGCAATCCCCATCTTAGCCGCATCCTTGACCGCCGTATGCTGCAGCAACACATTATTCTGACTATTGAAAAAAATACACAAATCCGGCAGCCTCGTCACAGCCCCAAACTGCTTAGTCGCGTTAGTAAAAATCCCGCCCCTCCAGAACCTCGTGTGCGCGAACTCCCCGCACTCTTGCGCCGTCTTCTCCACCAGGTGCGAGTTCTGGGCCCCGCGCAGGAAAAACAGGATTATACCGTCCCGGTAGGCCACGTGGGCGGCCACGTTCAGGGCTCTGCGTAGGTATTCGGCGGTCTTGTCTAGGTCAAAGATGATGTGACCCAGGCGGCTGCCGTAGACGTAGGGCAGCATGCGCTCGTCCAGGGAGCCGTCTCTGTGACCGTAGTGGACGCGGGCGTCGAATAGGTCCTTCACGGTGAACAAGTTGTGCACGCTGAAGTAGTCGGGGTGAGCTAGAGCGGCTTTATGGGGGTCGGCTGAAAAAAGTGCGGTTAAGTAAAGCGGTGGAGTGACTAGCGCTTACGGGTGGCTTGGGCTTCGGTGAGGGTGGAATTGAGGCGCGCTGTGGAGATTGAGCCCCATTTTCGAGACAAAAGCGAAAGCGAACGCATTTTGGAGGTTAGGGTTGATTGAGGTTAGGTTATCAGAATTGCGGTGTGCGCTTGCGTAAATTAGGTGAGTTTATTTTTTTTATTATTATTAAAGAAAAAACGATTTAAAAATGTTAGATTTATTTACTAATAAGAACAGTATTTTAAAATATTTACAGCTTTCCAAGAATTTCGTTCATTGGGTTTTTCACTTCTACCTGGTGGTGTGCAGTTGGTTGCATAAGCGTAACACAAGTAAATTGACAATTTTAAAATAAATAAAGTCCCCATCTACTTAAAAGTTTAGTTTATTAAAACAAGCTATCAATTCACTCCTATTATTAATTTAAAGTATGAAAATAATAAAAATGTTTCATTCGTACAAATCAAATTGAATAATATGTGTATAAACAAATTTAAACTTAGTGGGCGCCTCAGAGCGACGGACCCCCACTACAGCAATTAAAGCTATAGCACATGAATTTACGCCGACCTGGGGCCCAGTTTCTTCAAAACCTTCAAGCCCTGCTCCTCGTACTCCTGCTTCGACATCCAGAACGCGTCCCTGTCTTTCATGACTTCGGCTAGAACGGCGCCTCCTATGAACACCATATCTTTGCGCCTCGGCGGATCCTCGATCCTGATTTTGAACTTATTTAACTTTTCTATGTCATTTTTAAGTACGCGCTCTAAATACAATTGCTTAATTTCACGCTCGAGGCGTGATGGAAGACCTGGATACATGGTGGAACCCCCTGAAAGGACTATGTGCTTGTAAAGCTCGGGCCTCATGTCGATGTCTGCGGCCTAAATAAATTCGTCAATAACGTGACTGCTTGGGGGGTGTGGTTACCTGAATGGTGTTGAAAACGAGTTCGGCTATGCCCTGTCCTTCCACGTTTATTAAATGGGGCTGGAAGAGGGCTTCTGGTGCTTCGAATCTTTCACCGCCGACTTTGATAACGCGCCCGTCTGGGAGAGTGTACGGCTCCACCAAGACTGTGGTTTCGAGGGCCAAGCGTTGCTCGGTTTCTATGTCATAGCCAATGTAACATAGTTTCTCTTTCATGATTCTAACCTGACATTCAAGTTTTAAAAAACAGGAATTCACCCAGTTAAAATTTACTCACTGTTTCGAAATCGGCGGAATGGTTAAACGCGTAGCCCCTCAGCAGCAACAGTTTAATTAAATACCGGGTGATGTCTCGGCCCGCTATATCTAGACGTCGAGTTAAATGCGGCAGAGCGAATTCTTCATAAACCGGGCAAATATGGGTGACTCCATCGCCAGAATCGACCACGACACCCGACAAAAGCCCCTAGCAACCATTTCTTTATTATGAGTTATTTTTACAAAGACATTAAAAATACCTGCGCGTATAACGTTAATACGGCTTGAACCGCAATATACGCCCCTGCGAATCCATACTTTTCGAACATAACCTCAATCATCTTTTCCCTGTTTTTGGTGGGGTTCATGGGGGGCTCAGTTAATAGGATCTGCGAGCAAAAACTTGCACTATTCAGTTGTAAACGTGTCAAACTTTCTTACTTTGGCTTCGGTTGGGTTCAGGTTCATTTTTCGCGGCCCGAATGTGTAGTCCCACACATGGCACATGTCCTCCCAGTTCCGCACGACGCCATTTTCCATGGGATAGTTTACTTCGAGGAGCGATCTTAGGGCAGAGGCTTCGTCTCCCACCATCAAGTCCTAAATTTCAAAAAGTGAGGTTATATCGAGCTGCATGACATTAGTTTGAATTTCTTTTTGAATTTACTTACAGGAAGAGTACTTGCAACTCCCTGAAGCGTGAAAAGTTAGTTTTTGTTATAAGAACAAGCACATTACAAAATCACCACAAACACAAAATTGTTGTGGTTGTGGTGTCTGAAAACGTAGATATAAGGGTGTAGGGGAAGTTGTTAGGTCCAGACGTAACTCAATTTTAATAATATGTCGATAAATCATGATTTATTGGTGACTTTTGTGTGGTGAACTCAAAAAATAATAAAAGTCACTAGTTTTTAAAATCGACCATGCAGTGTTTGTGATTTTGGTCATACTCATGCATAAATCAGTTTTAAGTAAGTACTTAATCATTGTTAATTGATTCAGACGGCAATTAGTGCAATTAATAAAAAACAAACTACTGGTCTTTGTCCTCAGATCAAACACAAAATTAGCCCCATTAGTGACCACACAACACCTCCCGCCGAGGCACTTACATCTACATGGTAATCCTAGAATAACAAACACCCTTTGAAAATCGTCAACCTAATAAAACAAAATAGAAATGTTAACTGCGGTTTTTATCGAACTCACCTTAACCTCAATATCCCCGATCTTGTTCACCGCCCTGATAATCGGCCGCCCGACCATTGAGGGAAAAATGTGCGCGGGGAAGTTGCTTCCGGCGTACCCGCACTTGACGAACTGAAAAAATGGGGCTATCAGAACGAAAACGCACCCTCCAACCAACTAACCCCCGTGCCATTGTCACACACTATCACTTTCCTGCCTTGGCTATCCATCTTCGTTTCAAAGCTCACTTGCGATGGAGCGGAAACGACCAATTCATTAGTTTACCCTAGCAGTTTTCCTGCATGAACATTTCAATTATTCAGCACTTCACTCATTCACCTCTGTTGGTTCACCACGCCCATAGATAAAAATGAACACATCACAAATCGCGCAAAATGGGTGCGAAAGCGCCGGAAACCACGGACGCGAAATACTGCGAGTTGGTCGCTGCGGCCAAATTAACTAATTTGTTTATTGCTAAATTGGGGCCTTTTCGATACCGGTTTATCGCATTATGCACCCCGCATAGCGTGACGTCAGTGACAGTCGGTTGACATGGGGAATTGTCAACGCCAACCCAGCGGTGACAAATACACCACAAAACCTCGCACCTCGCTCTTTTTTCTAGTGACTTTCGTGTCCGTCGTGTCACGTTGGTCACCATTTCAGTCACCACAGTCGTGCTCACGAGGGTTGTTGGGGGTGGCGCTCGTAATCAAACACCCCCGCATTATTAAAACAACACCCCGAAGTATGATCCCCACGTGCCGATTTTTTCGTTTCGATTTATTACTCCGTGGAGCGAGGGTGTGGCAGCAATGATCCAAATACCACTCGCAAAACACTCATATCACTAAAAAAATAACAAACATCACGTGACCTTGCACATGTTAACGATGTTAACCTTCTAACCTGTCAAATTTTGTTTTTTGTTGTGAGGTTCGTGAGATGTACTTTTGTTTAAAGGTTTTTCGTGTTTAGTTTCGTGAAAATGTATTTTTTAAGAATTTTATGACAATAAGGATGACCGTGTCGTGGCCAAATTAGTGTTTAACCTGCGTGAGTCATGGTAAGTATATTTAGATAAAAACAGGGAAAAAAAAAGAATTAAAGCGCTGGCTAAGCAGTGGACTGCAGTAATTGATGGTGGGACTGATTAGATAACTGTTTTGATTGTTTGGATACAAGTATGTGGTGTGTCGCTTCCAGGAATTGGCTCGGAGTCACCCTGGTATTTCCAGGAATCTAGATAAACCGCAACGTTATCGTGTTTTTTTAAATGTGAGAGTTATCTATTTTAAATAGGCAGGTATTTAGGACCAGTTCTTTTTTGTTTACATGGGTTTTTATTGCGTCGCGATATGAGAAAGTTTTACATAAACACGCAGATTTATTAGTCAGGATTTCGGGGAATTTGGCTTTCAAGTATATACCGTTAAACCCAATAAAGTTGCCGCTTTCTATAATTGCCGCAAGCACAACCCGAGTCCTTTAAACTTCCCTACCTGACTTAACTAAACCCCAAGTGAAAGCTTTTATTTGACTTCTTGTCAAGGTTGCCGAAAATTAAAAATTCCGGAGCTAGAACACAGAATGGAAACTGCTTGAAAATTTAATAAAGTTGGTAATATTGCGCAAGTGATGGAACGTTATCTTACAATATAACCAACCTAAAGGGGCTAATTAATATTCTACGTGTGATATGATAAGCCAATTATGATGAATTGATGACACTTGAAGATCATAAATTAAATTTTATAACACGTTTAAGTTATGGTTTTCTCTAAGTTATTATTTACATTCGTAACTTCTCAGTCGCGATTTCACAATGGCGCATTTTCCGTTTCAGGATTCCAAGCCCCTTCTCCACCATTTGCGCAAAGTCGTACCCGAGATCAACCTAAGCAGCAACTCTGTTCACGCCATCCTCCATTCCGATCTCAGCCACGAAGACAAAGTCCACAACATTTTGCACCAACATTTCAAAAGCCGGAGGAACATACACAGATACCACACGTACGAAAACCTCCTAAATGCTGAAGCGAAACACATCCATTATTTGTACCCTTCGCACGAGCTTCAAGACATCTACCATAAATTAAAATATTTCGTGGACATGCCGAACCGAAAGGAGATAGTACTGAGGCTCCTGACTATGTCAAAGGAGACGATTAACGGTCCCGTGAAGAGAACGTGCGGACAGTACCTGGATAACGCGAACAATAACGCGCCTATGATTAAAGTTCGCAAGCTTGAAGAGCCGGCGACTGTAGTTTCCGCTTCTTGTAGCATTCAGGAGAATGTGGTACCGTTTTCGTACGACAATCTGAATGTGCCGACTCCGTACGTACTGAATACGGTTAGCCACGATGTATATTTCCCTGGCGATAAACCAGCTACTGTTACGTCTTCGGATGTCGAGACGGCTGTGACGGAAGAGAAAAATGAACCCAGTAGTACTGTGATGGGCGGTTACGAGGTCCCCGATATTATGGAACATTTTGCTCTTCCGATTATCAATTTGGAGTTACCGTGTACGATGGCTGATAACAGTGAAGGGTCGGAGTTATCAGAGACTCAGTTACCATACGTGAGCGAAGAAACGATTGAATCTATTACTGTGTTGAGGCCTGAAGAGATTTTAGTAACAAATAGTACCGATAGTACTTTTAGAGGTAGCAATGATACAGTGATCAATCAAAATAGTACGGATAGTACTTCTAAAGATAGCAACAGTACAGTAATCAGTCTCGATCATTCGGACGAGGCTTCTCAAATAGTATTAAGTGACGCTTCGTCAGAAGTACCCCGTGATAGTCAGGACTCGGCTAAAACCGAGCTGTATTCGCTTGATGATAGTGCCATACCTGAAAAACATCATGCGGTGACTATGATGGGGCCGACGTGTATTAAAATTAATCTTTTGTCGAATGTTGGTGAAAGGGGAATGCAAGAGGTAGACGCTGGTCAATGCCGAAATATCCACGGTAAGAAACAGATTATACATAAAAGTATTTTATTCGTTATACTGTGGTTTTTTTTTAATTCAAATCAAACAATCACCCGGTCATCTAATAGAGCCACACGTGAAAGTACCCTATGAACGGATTTTCTAAGTTTTCGTTTTAACATGCTTTATTCTATCACACATACTTTTTGATAATTTTGCTTTCTAATTACATTATTTTCTATTTATTTATTTTTGCTATTGTTTTGTAAGAATTAAATCAAAAATGGTTTATCTCATATTCCTGACAGTAATTTTATTGGTGTTACAATGACGACAAATTTTCAAGGCCAAATTGTATTTGCAAGACTATACATACCATTTAGTAAATTTGGTTTAGTGAAATCAGGAGTACCAACTAAAAACGACTTTTTAATCCATTTCAAATGATTGTGGACGTATTTAACCTCAACGGTCTGGTTCACGTGTTCAATATCCATCCAGTCTCTATGTGATGTTTGATTAGACATCACATTTGCTTTTTGTTTCCAGTTTGTTGTGTTTGATAGTTCAGTTTTGTAGTATGAGTGTGTACATTATTCCTCTAGAAGAACTCATTCAATATGATGAAGCAATTCTGTCAGGTGAACTGATTTTCTAGCTTTGGTTTTATGACTGAATGTGACAAAATACCGTTTTTTGAGCCGAATTGCGTATATTTTGAATTTGAACCTTTGAACAGTAAATTGATTGTCCTTATCTAGCATTTCTTCGGATGTTAACACTTGGTCTGAGTAAATATTTGAAACAAACGCGTATCACGCTTCTTTGTATGTACGTTAATATTTCACACGTATCTTTATTTTAACTTATGAGGGTTATCATAAAAAAATTAAATTCACAAAATTTCGGAAAATCTGGATTTATTTTTACTTCCCGATTCTCTATTTTTAAGTTTTCTCGACCTTTCATGACCCCTACAGTACGAAAAATAGGTCTCCCGTTTCGGTCTGTGTGTCTGTCGTCCCCATTTTTCGACTGTTGTCAAATTTTGTACTTATATTAGGAATATCATATGGTAAAACGCTAACCAAAATTTGTCTAATCATCCCCACCGATAATGTAATGACGTCACTTCAAAATTGTACGTAATAAATGGGTTTAACTTGTATAAAATAACATAGTCCTATACATGTAGTTTATGACTCCGTGTTTTTGTTTTTCTAGGGAAATATGGATTTAGGCAATTAAGCTCCTCCCCTAGGTCTACCAACGATTTTCAATTTTTCGATATTACAATTTTAGGATTTTTCGATTTTCCAATGTTTCAATCTTACGATTTCTTAATTTTTGATTCTTCAATTATTCGATTTCTCAGGTTTCCGAATAATCATTTTCATTTCTCCATTTTTCCATTTTTTTTTAATTTTAGATTTTTAGACTTCACGATTTCTCGATTTTTCAATTTCTTCGGTGTTTCAGTTTTGGTTTTTCACTTTTTGGATTCTTTAATTTTTCGTCCATTTTTCAATTTTTCGGTATTCAGCTTTGGGATTTTTCAAAATGTCGATTTTCAATTTTTCGATTTATTGATGTTTCTATTTCTCAATTTTTCGGATTTTTCAAATTTGAGATGTTTCAGTTTGTTGATGTTTCAATTTAATGATTTTTCAATTTTTCGACTTCTCGGTTTTAGATTTTTCGACTTTGATTTTTCGATTTTTCGACTTTTAGATTTCCCGAATTTTCAATTTGTCGATTTCTCAATTTTGCTGTGTTTCAGTTTTGGCTTTTTTCAAGTTTTCCATTTTTCAGTTTTTTCCCATTTTTCAATTTTTTCATATTTCCGCTTTGGGATTTTTCAATATTTCAGTTCTTCAATTTTTCGATTTTTCGACTTAGATTTCTGGAGTTTTCAATTTTTCGATTTCTCTTTTTTTTTCATTTAGATTTTCCGGTATTTCGATCTTACGATTTCTCAATTTTTGATTCTTTCAATTTTTCGATTTCTCACTTTCCTGAATAATCGATTTTCATTTCTCGATTTTCCGACTTTTCAATTTTTTTAAATTTTCTATTTTTCGATTTTTCAATTTCTTCGGTGTTTCAGTTTTGGTTTTTCACTTTTTGGATTCTTTAATTTTTCGTCCATTTTTCAATTTTTCGATATTCAGCTTTGGGATTTTTCAAAATGTCGATTTTCAATTTTTCGATTTATTGGTGTTTCTATTTCTTAATTTTTCGGATTTTTCAAGTTTGAGATGTTTCAGTTTGTTGATGTTTCAATTTAATGATTTTTCAACTTTTAGATTTCCCGAATTTTCAATTTGTCGATTTCTCAATTTTGCTGTGTTTCAGTTTTGGCTTTTTTCAAGTTTTCCATTTTTCAGTTTTTTCCCATTTTTCAATTTTTTCATATTTCCGCTTTGGGATTTTTCAATATTTCAGTTCTTCAATTTTTCGATTTTTCTACTTAGATTTCGGAGTTTTCAATTTTTCAATTTCTCTTTTTTTTTCATTTTTCGATTTTCCGGTATTTCGATCTTACGATTTCTCAATTTTTGGTTCTTTCAATTTTTCGATTTCTCACTTTCCTGAATAATCGATTTTCATTTCTCGATTTTCCGACTTTTCAATTTTTTTAAATTTTCTATTTTTCGATTTTTCAATTTCTTCGGTGTTTCAGTTTTGGTTTTTCACTTTTTCGATTCTTTAATTTTTCGTCCATTTTTGAATTTTTCGATATTCAGCTTTGGGATTTTTCAAAATGTCGATTTTCAATTTTTCGATTTATTGGTGTTTCTATTTCTTAATTTTTCGGATTTTTCAAGTTTGAGATGTTTCAGTTTGTTGATGTTTCAATTTAATGATTTTTCGACTTTTAGATTTCCCGAATTTTCAATTTGTCGATTTCTCAATTTTGCTGTGTTTCAGTTTTGGCTTTTTTAAAGTTTTCCATTTTTCATTTTTTTCCCATTTTTCAATTTTTTCATATTTCAGCTTTGGGATTTTTCAATATTTCAGTTCTTCAATTTTTCGATTTTTCGACTTAGATTTCGGAGTTTTCAATTTTTCAATTTCTCTTTTTTTTTCATTTTTCGATTTTCCGGTATTTCGATCTTACGATTTCTCAATTTTTGGTTCTTTCAATTTTTCGATTTCTCACTTTCCTGAATAATCGATTTTCATTTCTCGATTTTTCGACTTTTCAATTTTTTTAAATTTTATATTTTTCGACTTTTCGATTTCTCGATTTTTCAATTGTTTTGTTTCAGTTTTGGTTTTTCACTTTTTCGATTCCTCAATTTTTCTTCCATTTTTCAATTTTTCGGTATTTCAGCTTTGGGATTTTTAAAAATGTCGATTCTTCAATTTTTCGATTTTTTTAACGTTTCGATTTTCGATCTCTCGAATTTTTACTTTTTCGATTTTCAATTTTTCGATTTATTGATGAGTCTATACTTGTGATTTATTTTTAATATACATACAATTAATATTTTTTAAATTTGTTTCTACAGGGCGTCTCAGAAAAATTAATGGACTGAGTGGTTATCCAATCAGACTTTGGAATTTAACTCGTTACTATGGAAATATGCAATTTAACAACTTTTCACAAGTTTAATAGGGGCAAAATCAATCTCATCTTTGCAAGTGCTAGCCCCACCCACCCGCCCCCTACTTTCTCAGATTTTGTCATTTGCCAAAATCAGTCTTATCTTAGCAAATACTAGCCCCGCCCACCCGACCTCTATTTTCTCAAAGAGTGTGACATTTGCCAAAATCAGTCTTAACTTAGCAAATACTAGCCCCGCCCACCCACCCTCTATTTTCTCAAAGAGTGACATTTGCCAAAATCAGTCTTATCTTAACAAATACTAGCCCCGCCCACCCGCCCTCTATTTTCTCAGAGGATATGTCATTTGCCAAAATAAGTCTTACCTAAGCAAGTGCTAGCCCCGCCCACCTGCCCCTGTTTTCTCAGAGGATGTCATTTGCCAAAATAAGACTTAGCTTAGCAAGTACTACCCTCTGAAGAAAATAAAGGACGGGTGGGCGAGGCTAGTACTTGCTAACATAAGTCTTATTTTGGCAAATGATATATCCTCTGAGAAAATAGGGGCGGGTGGGCGGGACTAGTACTTGGTAAGAAAAGACTGATTTTGGCAAATCACATATCCTGTAGGCAAATAGGGGCGGGTGGGCGGGCTTAGTATTTGTTAAGATAAAACTGATTTTGTCTATTAGTCTTGTTAAAACTTGTGAAATTTAAATGTGCTAAATTGTAAATTTCCATAGAAACGAGTTAAATTCCTAAGTCTGCCCGAAGTGTGCAAAATATGATGAGTTTTTACGTGTGATTGATTTTAATATATAATTAATATTTTTTAAATTTGCTTATACAGGGCGTCTCAGAACAATTAATGACTGAGTTGTTGAAAAACAAATATCCAAGCAAACTTAGGAATTTAACTCGTTACTATGGAAATATGCAATTTAACAACTTTTTACAAGTTTAATAGGGGCAAAATCAATCTTATCCTTGCAAGTGCTAGCCCCGCCCACCCGCCCCCTACTTTCTCAGATTTTGTCATTTGCCAAATTCAGTCTCATCTTAGTAAATACTAGCCCCGCCCACCCGCCCTCTATTTTTTCAGAGGATATGGCATTTGCCAAAATAAGTCTTACCTGAGTAAGTGCTAGCCCCGCCCACCCGCCCCTGTTTTCTCAGAGAATGTCATTTGCCAAAATAAGACTTCTCTTGGCAAGTACTACCGTCTGAGAAAATAAAGGGCGGGTGGGCGGGGCTAGTACCGGTTAAGATAAATCTTATTTTGGCAAATGACATACTCTGAAAAAATAGAGGGTGGGCGGGCGGGACTAGTACTTGGTAAGAAAAGACTGATTTTGGCAAATCACATATCCTGTAGGCAAATAGGGGCGGGTGGGCGGGCTTAGTATTTGTTAAGATAAAACTGATTTTGCCCCTATTAATTTTGTAAAAACTTGTGAAATTTAAATGTGCCAAATTGTAAATTTTCATAGAAACGAGTTAAATTTCTAAGTCTACCCGAAGTGTGCAAAATATGATGAGTTTTTACTTGTGATTGATTTTAATATATAATTAATATTTTTTAATTTTGCTTATACAGGGCGTCTCAGAACAATTAATGACTGAGTTGTTGAAAAACAAATATCCAAGCAGACTTAGGAATTTAACTCGTTACTATGGAAATATGCAATTTAACACCTTTCAAATTTAACAAGTTTTTACAAGTTTAATAGGGGTAAAATCAGTCTTATCTTAGCAAGTGCTCACCCCACCCACCCGCCTCCTATTTTCTCAGAGGATATGTCATTTGCCAAAATAAGTTTTACCTTTGCAAGTACTAGCCCCACCCACTCGCCTTTCATTTTCATGGAGGATATGGCGTCTGCCAAAATCAGTTTTATCTGAGCAAGTACTAGCCCCGCCCACCCGCCCTCTATTTTCTCAGAAGATATGGCGTCTGCCAAAATCAGTTTTATCTGAGCAAGTACTAGTCCCGCCCACCCGCCCTGTATTTTCTCAGAGGATATGTCATTTGCCAAAATAAGACTTATGTTAGCAAGTACTACCCTCTGAGAAAATAAAAGGCGGGTGGGCGGGGCTAGTACTTGCTCGGATAAAACTGATTTTGGCAGACGCCATTCGGAAAATAAAATGTATTTGTTTTTAATTTGGTCATTACAAAAATACGATTTCGTCTTCGACTGACCGTTTGTTGACATATATTCTCAAGATTGTGCAAAATTCAAAATTGGACACTTCAAGGCGTTCCACTAATTTATGACTTGCAGCCAGGCAGCCAGAGTGGATTTTTCAATTACTCCATTTTCCCCTTTCAGAACATTGAAAAAGGTTTATTTAATAAATTTTCGCGATGACTTCGTCAACTTTATAGAGAAAATGAGCAGTTAGTTTATTTATTAAGGGAATAAATTGAACTCGGACCGTGTTGCATTTAATCTAGTTGTCTAAACAAGTCGTCGTCAAGGAAGCATGTTTGTTTATATTGTTAGAAAATTTTCCAAAAAAGAACTTCTTTCTCAAAGCGTTGCGTTAGTGACAATAAAATCAAGAAAAAAATCGTTGGTATGTACAGTATATACCAAAAATGGGGTTTCTCAATAAAATTTTTTACACAAACTTGAAATACAACGTTTATCGCAGTCATTTTTAGCATAAAGTTTTTTTTATTTTTTGTCTCCAGAACCTTACAACAATGCGCCGTCGACGTCTAGGCAAAACACCGCAATGAACAACGGTTTGTTTACATCGCTATTTGCGTATATTTTTTAATTAAAACGAACTTCCTTTTCAGATATTGCAAACTTTGACCTCGTAACGTATGTCCGAGAAATAACACACGCTCGAGAGGAGGTCGTACGGAAACAATGCAAGAAACTGAATTTGCGCACAGACATGAAACCCATGCCATTTTTATTAAATATGGTCATTGATAACATTTTGTCGAACGTCGTAGATTCAGAGGACTCGGACGTGGAGCACCTGCCTGACGTCATCCAAGGTAAGGAAGGATAGCGCGAATAATATTATTTTCAATATTTGTGTCTTGCAGAGGCGGAAATGCAAGGAATTGCAGGCGGCGCAATTGACCTACAGTAAGTACCCCCAAAACAATGACCATTTATTTATTTATTTGTTTATTTATTTCAGTACTGAAGTACCGAATGACGCGACGAATACTGAAGGTGTTGACGCAAAATGCCTCGAAACGATGCACGAACCCTTCGATAAACAGCTAGTCCAGCATTTGTGTCTCGTATTTTCTGACGCATGTCCGAATTATATTAAGGCGCTGTGTCACGGCAAAGTCAACAACAATGAAGTGTTGGACAATTTAATCACGGAAATTTTAAACAGTGAGTGTTTTTGAACTACCGAATCGCCTACTTGAATACCGACGTTGTCTTTCAGCTAACGGCCAGTACCCCAAACGTCCCCGACCTCCACCGGAGCCCGAATGTCTCCCCGAAAACCAGCTCGAAATCCTGAAGGAGTTCCTGCCGGACGCCGACCCCGACTACCTCAGCATGATGCTCGACAAATTCGAAGGCAAGCCGGATTTGGTGAAAAGCTTCTTGAACGAAGCGATGGAAAAGAGGGATTATCCCACGTTGAAAGACTACCAAAGGTGCTTTCGTGGTTATAGGCGACCTAGTTTTTAGTTTTTTTTTTGTAGACGACAGCAGCTGTCGGCACAACAGAAGCAATACACGACGGAGTTTAACGTGGAAAATTTCGTGAAGCTCATTCCTGACCCGGAGGCCTTCTTCAAAGACCCGTCGCGGAAGCTCAAGATCAGCAACGCCGACTCGCACTACGTGCTCGTGTTTATGCGTAATAAGTTCAACCGGATACATCTTCGCACCATTCAGACCGTGTTCTCGAAAAATCACTGCAATGTGGCGAAAACTATCAAGGACTTGGAGAAGGCGATGACGCAGAGTCAGTACGTGATGAAGAGTGTGCGGAGGTCGATCGAAATGCCGAATAGCGTGGAAAATATACCCTTACTGCAGGAGGTGAGTTCATAACCTAAGAATTTTAGACGCAGAAATGACGTCATTACAAATATGTAATATATTGCAGCTGGCGTACTATACTCATAAAGCCGAAATCGACAACTACCTCAAACAACAAAGCCAAAAAGAAATAGCCGAACGAGAAGAAGCCAAAGCTAAGGGGGTATTGAAAACCTGCAACTGCTGCTACGACGAAGAAGTCGTCCCCAAGGACATCCATCGGTGCGAAAATGGATGCGAGTTCTGCAAGTCGTGCATTGTGAAAAGCTCCGAGGTTCTTTTCGGCGAAGGAAAACTGGATTTTCCATGCTTGATGAACTGTTCTTCGAATTTCAGTTTACAAACATTGCAAGTATGTTAATTAAAAATAAACCCTACTCCATTTTCCCGAAAATTTGGGAATACTGTTACGCTTGACGGGCGTATAATAAATCGGGCGTTGGTGAAACTCAAATATTTATTTCTTTAGCTCGAATTACAACACTATCTATTGCAACGAATATGTACAGAAATTAATCCGGCGCTCTTGACTGTCTTCACTGACTGAATGAATCCATTACCTACGGTCGCCTCTATTTAAACCCATAGTCTCTGATCGAGATCCTTCACGAACATCCATCGCGACTCCGCTTCGAGACTCCCCTGGACGCCGCTTCGAGACGCTCCAGACCTGTCTTTATGCGCCCGCCTCTCGGCCGTCAACAGCGATGATTCACCCATCAGCGCCGTGCGTACGTCCAGAAGGCTCTCGACCGCCATAGGCGTCGTACTGGGGCGGCGTAAGGGTGTATTTCGTAACACTGCCCCCCTCTTCAAATCCGATCGTCCCGATCGGAAGCGTCTTCGTTGTTTCCTTCGTACCGTTTTAGTCGATCGAGATGAACGATCTTCATCTTCGTCTTTGGTCCACGTTGGATCCGATAAACTACGTCATTTATTCTAGTGACGATAGTGTATGGACCTTCCCAGTCAGGAGCCAGTTTTGGGCAACGTCCCTTCTTCCGTCGGGGGTTATACAGCCACACTAAGTCATCTTCCTGGAATCCGCCACAGTTGGCCTTCACATCATAACGGGTCTTCATTCGGTCACTGGCAATCTTGATCCGGCCCCTCACTAGTTCATGCACGTTGACCAACTTCTCTTTCAGTTCGTCCACGTAGTCACGTACTTCCATTGGTTCTTCGGATGGCAATCCAAAGACTAGGTCACAGGGCAGCCGCAGTTCCTTCCCAAATACAACGTGAGCAGGTGTTTGGCCCGTGGTGTCGTGGATAGCTGCGCGGTAGGCCAGCAGGAATAGTGGAAGGTGCTGGTCCCAATCCCTTTGGTGCTCTTCTACCACTTTCGAAAGGTGTTGCTCCATAGTCCGATTGAACCTTTCCACCATGCCGTCGGACTGTGGGTGTAGTGGCGTTGTCCTTGTCTTACGTATTCCCAGTAGCTGCATCACTCTTTGGAAGACGTTGGATTCGAAATTGCGTCCCTGGTCTGAGTGAAGTTCCAAGGGGACGCCAAACCTACTGATCCAATTGTCAACCAGTACTTTCGCGACCGTGACGGCTTCCTGATTTGGAATGGCATAGGCATCTGGCCACTTGCTGAAGTAGTCGCTAGCCACCAGGATAAACTTGTTGCCGTCGTTTGTTACAGGGAACGGACCGGCCACATCGATGGCGATTCTTTCGAAAGGTGCCCCAACATTATATTTCTTCATCTTTCCCCTCGCCCTGGTATGAGGACCTTGGCTGGCCGCACACGTCGTACACTTGCGACACCAACTTTCGACATCGTCACGATGACCTACCCAATAAAACCTCTCCCGGATTTTCGACAAAGTTTTGTTCACTCCGAAGTGGGCTCCAGATGTTCCGGCATGAACTTCCTCTAAGACCTTGGAAACCTTTACCTTGGGGAGTACCAGCATCGTCTTAGAGGTACGCCCATCAGGACTCTCCCACTTTCGCTTCAAGAGCCCATTTTCCATGACCAAGGAATCCCATTGGGCCCATAACGCCTTCAAACTGGGGGATTGGTCGGACAATTCTGCCCAGCCGGGTCGTTCGACTCCTTCCTCCTTCCACTTTAATATTGGTCCGATTATGTCGTCTGCTTCTTGCTCACGCTTTAACCGCGCCGTTGTCCATTCTTCATCTTGCTCAAAAATCGTCCGACGAACGGGCAGGTTCCCTTCTTCCGCGTCGATCCTGTCGCAGTGCTTGCACTCTCCACACGGACGTCTTGACAAAGCGTCAGCGTTGTTGTGAAGTCGACCCGCTCGGTGTTTGATCCTAAAGTGGTACTGCTGTAGTCGTTCCAGCCAACGCGCTACTTGGCCCTCGGGATTCTTTCTCCGCAGTAGCCACGAGAGGGCAGCGTGGTCGGTCCTGATCAGAAACTCCTGTCCGTATAGATACTTGTGGAAGTGATTGACGGCTTTGACAATGGCTAGCAGTTCCTTCCTTGTGGCACAGTAATTTCTCTCTGGTTTGGAATGTAATTTGCTAAAATATTCGATAACCCTTTCCTCCCCATCTTGTATCTGCGACAATACGGCCCCAACTCCCGAGTTACTCGCATCGGTATCGAGGACGAACATTCCTTTGTCCCTGGGGTAAGCCAAAATGGGGCTGGTGCACAAAGCCGTCTTCAGTCTCTTAAAGGCCATCTCACATGTACTGCTCCACTTGAAAGTCGCCTTCTGCTCCGTCAGTTGATGTAACGGTGCTGCGATGTCGGCATACCCTTCTACAAATCGTCGGTAATATGTGCAGAGTCCCAAGAAGCTTCGTAGTTCATGCTTGTCTCTTGGTATGGGCCAATCCCGGATAGCAAGAACTTTCGTCGGGTTGGTTTCTATTCCTTTCTCTGACACGATATGGCCCAGGAATTCGACTCTTTTCTGGAAGAGCGAGCATTTCTTGGGATTTAGTTTCAAACGAGCCTTTTCCATTCGTTCTAGCACCTCCTCGAGATTCTTCAGATGGTCGTCAAACGTTTTGCCCATAATCATGACGTCGTCGAGGTATACCAGACAGGTCTTCCATGTCAGTCCTTTTAGCACCATCTCCATCAGCCGCTCGAATGTTGCTGGCGCATTACATAACCCGAAGGGCATAACGGTGAAGTGATAGAGGCCACTTCCGGTGGAGAACGCAGTCTTTTCTTTGTCGTCCGGGTGCAAGCCTACTTGCCAGTAGCCACTCTTCAAGTCCAAGGTCGAAAACCACGCCGAGCCGGATAGGGTCGTCAAGGTATCGTCTATTCGAGGAAGGGGGTAACTGTCTTTCTTCGTCACGTCGTTCAGTTTCCTGTAATCGACGCAAAATCGGGTAGTCCCGTCCTTCTTGGTGACCAAGACTACTGGAGATGACCACGCGCTGTTGGATTCTTCAATTACCCCATCTCTCAACATGTTGTCCACGAGTCTTGTAGCTTCTTCTTGTTTGGCTAGGGGTAGTCTTCGAGGAGCCTGACGGATCGGTTGAGTGTCACCAGTGTTTATTCGGTGTTCTACGATGTTGGTCTTCCCGAATGGTTCCTCCTCTGAGGCGAAGACATTACGGTGCCTACGAATGAGTCCTTTGGCCAGTTTTCTCTCACTAGCAGACAGCTGGTCCCAGTTGACCTCCAAGCCTTTGGTATCCCCTTCCCAAGATTCATTCTCAACGTCTTCTTCCTCGCAGTTCAATACTCGGGCGACTGGCTCACACATTCCGATAATCTCCCCTTTTCTAATATTGACTGCATTGGGAAACACGTTTGCCACACGTAAGGGTATGTCACGATCGGTTTTGACTAGGGTGCTCGCGATCAGGAGCTTGTGGGTCGAGTCACGTGCCGGCTGCACCATCCCCAAACTGTATCCGGGGTTCGTCTCTACTCTGGCGGGGACGATGACTTCTGCATTACCATCTACCTTCGTTGTCTGACAGACCACTAGTCTGACCGTTGCCGCTTCCACATTAGGACGTCCCAACACAAATTCTTCGGCTCCGAAACGCAGAATTTTCTGTTCTGGGTCGATCATTAAACCATACCGGCTGATTAGGTCCATACCCAGAATGAAATCGTCAGCGATTTCCGCCACCAGAACTTCATGCCTTATTCGGAGTCGACCGAGCTCTACATTCACCACCGCTGTACCCAGAACCGGTGTTGTTTCTCCTGTGACCGTCTTTACATTCGTGGCGGTACATACTGATTTAATTTGGCAATTTTGTAACCTGGATCTGCGTGCAAGGGACACTTCGGCTCCTGTGTCGATGATGATCTTCGATTCCCGTCCATTGATTTTTCCGCTGATTGTCGAACTGTCGACGCTCCCCGCGATACTTCTAACCATTATAGTAGTTGGGGCTTCTCTTTTAGCAGCCAGTACGCGCCCCGAGGTACCGACTGCCTTTAGTTTTCCTGCTCCTGATGTAGACGAGGTCGCGGCTGCGATCTCCTCATCGGCGCTGGCGATCTAACACGGCAATCCCTCCTAATATGCCCTTGACGCCCACACCTGTAACATTCTAGGCGCCCTCCATGTTGTCTAGAACTGCCCGTCTTGATTTCGGCAATTATTTCGCGGGCGAGTTTCTCAAAGTTCTCGCTCATTTTGTCGAGACTCTCTTGAATAGGGTTTACTTCGCCCTCAACCCCGATGCCTCGTATCTTAACGTTGGAACGAGGTGAGCTGTTGTATGCGGCGTCCACTTCTAACGCTCGAATCAGCGCCTCGGATGGTTTCTTGAACCCAGAGATTTGCAGGACTCTTCTTACCTCACTATCTCTTACGCCGTTTACGAAGGTTTCTGCTGCCAGTCTGTCTTGGAAGTCTTGCGGAGCTTCAGGATAGGCGAGGTGTACCAAGCGTTTAACATCAGCCGCAAACTCCTGAAGAGATTCACTACTCTTCTGAATCCTAGATTTAAGCTGCGCTACGAAAACTTGCCGGAGGTGTTCATCTCCAAATCTGAGTTCAAGGGCGGTCGTCAAGGCGGTATAGTCCTTCTGGTTCTCTTCTGATAATGTCTGTAGAATCTCCAGGGCCGCACCTCGTAGTGCTACTACCAAAGCGGTCGCTTTCTGTTGGTCATTCCAGCTATTCGACAAGGCCGCAGCTTCAAATTGCTTCTTATAAGTAGTCCACGACGTCTGCCCATCGAAAATAGGGGGTTGAACTCTCACCGGACTGAATTCTGCAGGGGTCGTAATTGTAGGCCGTGGTGTTTGCAACCTTTCTTCGAGCTCCTTGATCTTGTTTTCCATTTCATTTCTCACCTCGTCCACTTCATTTCGCATGACTTGGAGGATTTCACTTCGGCTGTTCAAAAGTGTAGTTTGCATAGCTTTTAGATTTTCTT